CCAGTTAAGATGCCTCTTGGGGCTTTGGTTCCTTCACTGTAAATGAATATAACAGTGGGTCAGAACTCATGTATTAACTGGAGCTCATGTATAAGGTGAGAGGTCAGGGAGAGACTGTTAAAAAGCTCTGAGTTTGTGAAAAAGCCTGGCACAAAGGTGATGCCCAGTTAGTGCTCAAAACTGCTGCTGGGGAAATAAGGGGCTAGGGAAATAAGGGGCTATGGAAAGGCTTAGTCTCAAAGATTTTGGAGTTCCCTTTGCAAAGATGGGTGATATCTTTGCACTCCATTCCCTATGACTGCTTAGGGTGTGTGTGTGTGGAAAACACCATAGTCTTCTGAGTTTTCTGAGCTTTAGCCTAGCCCAGACTAGGGAGAGAGAGATGGCCAGGCAGTTAAAGTGGGTTGCTAGGGTCTGGTCAGGGTTGCTAGTGTCATGAGTCTCAGCAAATTCAGAGGACAGGAAACCCAGCAAAAGTGAGAAGGGCCCTATTGATCCTGTTGGAATGACACATACTCTCTTAGTGCTGGTGATTGAAAAAGAAAAAGAAATCCAACCTGAATCCTCAAGGGGGAACTCTGCAACTAAATGAAATTTGGGCTTTTCTGAAACCTGGTGAGTGCTAGCCCAGAGGCAGCACCTTGGTAGAGGCAGCTGGATAGGCAACTGGACAGAATGTGCCCTCCAGCACCCATTTCTCAACCTCCAACTGCCCTTCTTAGACTTGGGTTACAGTGTCACTGTTTTGGTCATGGGCATCTTTTCCTGTTGGCTTTGCTGTTTGTTTCTTTAGCTTCCCGCTGCCACTTACTGTGATCTTGGACAGGTGTCTTTACCTTTCCAGTTCCTTCCCTTACTTGCTCCCCACCCTTCTATTATGAATTAAAAGCTTTGTCTTTTTAATTTACATTTATGTTGTCTAACATCTTCCTTCTACTTTAGTTTTTAGCAATTCTACAGCAGGAACCCTGCATAGTATAATCTTAGTACTGAAAAGGATGAGGTAGGAGGATGGGGAGTTCCAGGCCAGCCTGGGCTAATAGGAGATCTTTTTTCGCAAAAAGACAAACAAACAAAAGCTAAATATCCCACACTAGAGGTACAGGTATGAGTGCTATCAGTATTTTAGTACCAATTTGCTAGTTATGAAGAATTTTATTTGGATACGCCATTTATTCCTCTCCTCCTCTTCCTTCTCCTTCCCTTTCTCTTCCTCCCACTTCCCCCTCCTCTTCCCTCCATCCCCCCTCTTCATCTTCCTCCTCCTCTTTTTTTCTACTCCCCTTCCAGAGAAAGAGGAAAGCAACAATCTAACAGTTGTAACTTGAAGTGTTTCTGAGTCTAATACTCAGCAAACACTGAGTTAACTGGGGTGAGAGCTGAACTGTAACAAAGTCTGAAACAAATATAAAGATCCCATATGGATCATTTTCAACGTAAAGAGCTTAAAGTGTAGAATTAATTTCCCAAATGTAAGAAAATGCCACAGATTTAGAAATGAAGAGTGCACATTTTTAGTCAAGGGATGGGAGTCATCTGTTGATATCACCCATATTTATGTAGGACTTAGTAAGAGAGGAAGGTCATGCGAAGCAGTGCAAAGGCCAGCTTCCTGGCTGCATGGCCCATGGAAGCTGGGCCAGGCTTTGAATTGCTAGGGTAGCTGTGTATGGTCTCTACTCCAGGCCTATAATTTGCCTCTTTTTGGCTATTTCTTTGCTACATGGCTCCAGGTAGGTTCAGGTAGGTAGCGAATATGGTCTGGAGGGGATATGTATAGAGCAGTCACCTTTTTAGACCCTCTGTTTAGAACTTCTAGAGATTGCTTCTGGAGACCCAGTGAGGGCATGTGGCTGAAAGGTTTAAAAACAATGTGAGGGTAGCTGTGGGGACTGGAACCTGGAAAGACAGTGACATGGTCTGGGGTATATCTTGGACTTTGCCTTGTGCTTGGGTGCTTTGTTCAGTCCTTCCTGGAATGATTCTTCTACACACATGGTGGGAAATCCAAAGGGCTTAGTGCAGACCCCTACCAATGCCAGTGGTTCTCCAAGTGTGAGCCCCTGAACCAATGGAATCAACATCACCTGGATGCTCCTAGAAAGGCAGTCTCTTAAACCTCTGAGGCCTGAGGAAATTTGCATCTCTAACCAGTTCCTAGGTGACACTCCTGCTGCTATTTAAGCGGTTTTAACAACCACTGTTATAGATCAAATTCCAAGTTCCTGGGCCATAGAATTCTTGCCCTGAGACCACTTAGATGGCCTGGGCAGCTTCTTTACCAGCCTGTCTTCTCAAGAGAATATCATACCATTGATGGGCATGTTTACCTGAGACCTGGGATGCTGTGATATGTGGACTAGGGTGACTGCAAGCATGCAGGTGAGTCCCCTCCAAATATGGAGTGGACTGGTATGGGAAGATGGGGAGCAGTTGGATAATGAAAGACCCACTTGCATTCTTTCCTGAGTCCTATAAAGTATGTGTGAGCTGGTCTTGGTAGAAAGATCACTAGACCACCTAAAGCTGAAGAATCTGAAAGGTCTTTCCTTTATAGATGGTTTCAGGTTTGGCTGTGCAGACTATTTATTAGCCTATACTTTAAAAAGGGAGAGAGAGAGAATGAAAACAAAAGCAGGCAGATCTTTCCATGTTGCAGGAGAAATAGATAAATCATTATTCTTTATACGTGTTTCTATTCTCCAATCAGACGGAACATATCAAATTATGGAAGGAGAGAGGGAAGTGATTTCCAGATTTATTTCCGGCAAGCTCTGCAAATACACTTTGGTCTGTATCTCCTTTCATTTAACCCCTAGCCAATCTTGGTTGCTTCTAGAATCCCACACCTGGGCTTCAGTGCCGCAAGATTGGATTGTAACTTGCTAAATGCTCAGGCTTTGGAACTAAATAGATCCAAGCATGGGGCCCAGCCTTATCACTTATTAGCTGTCTGACTTTGGGTAATAAATTTCTCTGAGTCTTGGCTTTCCAACCTATAAAAATGGAACAGGTATCTACCTATCTTTAAAAAAATCTGTATGTGAACAAAGATTAGAACTATGCCAGCCCTCACAACATTTAAGTGATTGTGGCATGAGCCTGTGCCCTTGGTTTGTCTTACTCATTACAACCTGAGTAAGGGAAGAGAGAGGCAGGAAAGTGAATCCTAAGGTGACAGGTCCAGAGATCTGGGCAGTGGCCAAGCATCACTGTCAGATGCAACTTTCTACAAAGGAGAAGAAAGTATGTTGAGCTCCCCCTGATCTTTATCTTGACCCTGGTTGGTTTGAAGGTCTTGGCTTCCATAAATCAACTGTCCTGCAGCAGCCTTTCCCTTTTCACCTCTCTAACCCTTCTCACAGTTCCATCTCAGGTTGAGGCTTGTGTGCTAAAGAGGTGGCCGGCCCTGTGGTCAGCTCAGAGTGCAGACTGGGTGTGGTTGAGGCTCCAGAGCCAGTGTCCTGGGGCTACATCTGGACAGGCAGTGAGGGTTGGACTGAACCTGGTGACACTTTTACTATTGAAATCAACCCAAACTTTACTAGCTTCTGGGGAAAGCTGGGGGCTTTGGGGATTTTTGTATTTGCTGGGTTGTAAACATTTTATGGGAAGGCAGCCCAGGAAAATCTGGTTAGCTTTCCGCCTTGCACACTGAAGTGGGGTTGGCTTCGTGCACAAATGTGTCAAAAAAGGAGTCCAGTTTTGCCTTGGTCCTAAAGAATTTGCCTTGGAATTTTAAAGACTGCCACTCTGTATGCATCACACTTTCTTTTTCTCACTTGTAACCAACAAACGAATCTTCAGGATCCATTGTAAGACAATTTCAGATTGGATGGTGTGTATGTGGGGGCGTGTCACTGTGTGAATCTAAGTATCCCCGGTGAGGTTTTCTCTTTCCAGGAATGCCTCTTTCCCCTGGACTGTATTATCTTCTCAATGGGCAGATTTCTGGTGTGCTTGTTTGTTCATTTCCTCTTTCTCTGCTTCTGAAACGCCAATTACTCTTTTATTTGTTGCAAAGGAAAGAAGAAAAAAATCGGAAAAGAAAAAAATGGCTTAGCAACTCTTGATTCTGTCTGCATCATCCTAGACTTAACCATGCCAGCAAAACTGCCTCGTCGGTAGCAATCTGAGTTTGAACTAGTGGCTCTACAGAAAGACTGCATCTTTAAATTATTTTAGAGTTTAAAGGAAGATGCTCACAATAAACATACAAATATCCCATGCCCTGGCTCCATCCTTAGATATTGATTCAATTAGGCAAAGAGACCCTGACACTCATGCTTTTAAAATCAAACTGAAAATCACTGGTACAAGTTTCACACTGACTGACCAGCCTCTGGTCACTCAGGACTCTGGGTCTGTGATGAGCTAGGACTTGCCAGCTGTCTTTGCCTGCCTGAGGGCTGGTGGATGGGGGCCTGTGATTTCGAAAGACAAATATACACGGGATAATTGTAGATAATTTCGATTGCCAGAAAGATAGTACGTCAAGGTTCTGTGATAGTGAGTGCTCCAGGGAAGCCACACTGGATCGTGGTAGTCTGAGATGGCCTCTAAGACTGACAAGGTGGGATGAGGTGGCATTTGAGCCGGTAATGATCTTCACAATGCTTGTGAAGAGTCAATCTGGGGAGTTCGACCCAGACTTGCAACCACAAGAGCATGTTAGCGGTTACACAGGCTATTGGGGGCACATCCCCGCCTCCCCGCCTCTGCCTGCTGCCTCTTCGACTTTGCAAGAAGCACTGATTTCCTTGCACCGAGGCCAGGAGGCCTAAGCTGAGCCCAGGGGGGGCTTGGTCCGGTGTGGCACCTCCTCATTTAATGCACCATCCAGGTCGTGAGCCTGGGGGTGGTCAGGTCCAGGGGCGGCTGAACTGGGACCCCCTGGTTGGCCTGCCCTCTCCTGCCCGCGTCCTCCTGGGGACCGCTAAAGAGCACCGGGTTGATCTCCTCTTAAGTGAAACTGACTGTAATTATTTTTTATCTCGCAGACGATCTCTCGCACACTGCTCTCCGGAGACAGAAGTATTTGTTTGATGTGTTCACGCTGTCAGACAAAGAAGAGCTGGTGGGCGCGGAGCTGCGGCTTTATCGCCAGGCGCCCGCAGCGCCCTGGGGGCCACCTGCTGGGCCGGTGCACGTGCAGCTCTTCCCGTGCCAGTCCCAGCTGTTGCTGGACGCCAGGACCCTGGACGCACAGGGGCCGACCCCGGCAGGATGGGAAGTCTTCGACGTGTGGCAGGGCCTGCGCCATCAGGCCCGGAAGCAGCTGTGCTTGGAGCTGCGATCAGCGTGGGGCGAACCTGACTCCAGGGAGACCGAGGCGCGCGCGCGGGGTCCCCAGCAGCCACCACCCCCGGACCTGCGGAGTCTGGGCTTCGGCCGGAGGGTGCGGCCACCCCAGGAGCGCGCCCTCCTCGTAGTGTTCACCAGATCCCAGCGCAAGAACCTGTTCGCGGAGATGCGCGAGCAGCTGGGCTCGGCCGAGGCTGCGGGCCCCGGTGCGGGCGCAGAAGGGTCGTGGCCACCGGCGTCTGGCTCCCGGGACGCTGGGCCTTGGCTGCCCTCGCTCGGCCGCCGGCGGCGACGCACGACCTTCACCAGCCGCCATGGCAAGCGGCATGGCAAGAAGTCCAGGTTACGCTGCAGCAAGAAGCCCCTGCACGTGAACTTCAAGGAGCTAGGCTGGGATGACTGGATTATCGCGCCCCTAGAGTACGAGGCCTATCACTGCGAGGGCGTGTGCGACTTCCCGCTGCGCTCCCACCTGGAGCCCACGAACCACGCCATCATCCAGACGCTGATGAACTCCATGGACCCGGGCTCCACCCCGCCCAGCTGCTGCGTGCCCACCAAATTGACTCCCATTAGCATCCTGTACATTGACGCAGGCAATAACGTGGTCTACAAGCAGTATGAGGACATGGTGGTGGAGTCCTGTGGCTGCAGGTAGCGGTGCCTGTTGGGACGACTGGGCCAGAGACTGCGTAGGGAGGGGGTGGGGGAGGCCTGACTGCAGAGAGGTGGAGCAGGAGCTGGGCAGGAAGACACCACTGATGGGGAGCATCCTGGAAGTAGGGGCGCAGTGGGAGAGGAGGGAGCCCTGCTCTCCCAGAATCTTACACCTGCCAACCCAGAAGAAGCTAAGGATTGTTCACACTTTGCCTGGCTACCCTGGAAAGACAAGCGGAGGAGGACTCTTTCTTTTTCTTTTCTTTATTATTGTGGCTTTGGATTTTCTTGTGTGGCTCCTTGGTTTTAATAAGAGGTGGAGAGAGAGGGAGATGC